AACCTTGCACTGAAGTCCCCTCACACCCGCTAAGCCCCCAGTCCTGGTGATAAAGGCCACCAGGCTGGAGCCCCCACCCAAGCAGAGATACCGCTGAATTCACTAATCAGATGAGGATGTGGGCGTGCCTGCATCTCGGCAAACCTTTCGGAATTGTGATTCTCTGCTGTTTACCTGTCCTTAGCATATGTTCCAAACTGGGGCCCAGGATTCTGAGCTTCTGCCTGCCCCTTCCTCCCTCAGGGCCTGGAGTTCGGATCCCCAGTTCCTTCCTCCTTAAGCCCCAGCAGTTCTAACTCCCAAGCCCCCCTCCTTTAGCAGAGACCCTAGACTTGGGGCCTTCCCCTCCCAGAATGGAAGACTGCAGAACCCACAGGAAAGCATGACACATCCCCAGCTGTCCCCTCTGGCCACATCTCCCCACCCACTTAACGCAAACCCTAGCCTGGCTGGCTTCCTCCCACCTCAGGGCCCCGAAGCCTCTCTCTCTCTCACCTCTTCCTGGAAGCCTCTATTTGGTGTTGAGGGCTCCACGGGTGGGAGCCATAGAACCTGTGACAGAGGCAAGTTCTAAACCACCACCCAAACCACTGACGATCTGACACCCTCCGTGTCCTCCCCCACCACACATGAAGGAGGGAACCGGACCCCGGGGAGGGGAGGGAGGACGTTGCCTGTGCAATCCAGGAAGGGAGGGTATGTGAAAAGAGTCAGCTACCGGGAACTGTGTGAAACCAAACCAGCCTCTCCTCATTTGACAAAGCACAGGACCCCTTGCTGCCCCAAGACTGCTTCCTGGTCTCTCTTTCTTGAGCTCAGAGGACCCAGGAGTCCAAGTGCACAGCCTCCCCCTCTCTGCGATTCAAGAGTCTGATCAGCAGCCTCTTCCTCCCCCAGGACCCAGAAGCCCCGAGCTTACCCCCATGGAGCCCTTCCGATCCCTGGCCCTGCTTACGGGCTCCTTGGGCCTGATTTTCTGCCTGACTGCTTTGAGCACCGATTTCTGGTTTGTGGCTGAGGGTCCCAACACCTCAGCTCACTCGGGCCTCTGGCCAAATGGGCATGGGGACCCCGTAGCAGGTAAGGGGAGTGTGTGTCCTGGGGTGGGGGAGGGTTGCCAGAGGAGATGGGTGCTCAGTGGTCTCCCCCCGATCAGGCTACATCCACGTGACGCAGAGCTTCAGCATCCTGGCTGCCCTGTGGGCCCTGGTGTCCGTGAGCTTCTTGGTCCTGTCCTGCATCCCCTCATTGTCTGCTCCCGGCCAAGGCCCCCTTATCTCAACCATCACAGCCTTTGCTGCAGGTAAGGACTCTGAAGTGCACTGGGGCATGGGGAGTCAACGAAGTCCTGCCGAGGGACTGAGCCGTCTTTCTTGTCCTTGTCTCCAGTCCTCTCCATGGTGGTGGCCATGGCGGTGTATACCAGCGAGCGGTGGGATCAGCCTCGGAACCCCCAGATCCAGACCTTCTTCTCCTGGTCCTTCTACCTGGGCTGGGTCTCAACTATCTTCTTGCTCTGCACAGGTGACTCTCCTGCCCACTGCCCCGGGGAGCTTGGGAGGGCCCAGTTGGGGGCGCTGAGGACGGAGGGCAGGGGGTAAGTGCTTAAACGCTTTCTGACCGCCCAGGTTCCCTGAGTCTAAGGGCTCACTGTGGTGGCCCCAGGCCCGGCTATGAAACCTTGTGAGTGGAAGGCAAGAACGGCAAGATGAGTTTTGAGCGCTGTATTCCAAAGGCCTCATCCGGAGCCTTGGGAAAGTCTGGTCCCACATCTGTCCCGCCCCTCCCCAGCCATTCTTCCTGTTTCTTCATTCATTCAACAAAATTTGGCTGGAATCTGGTTATTCTGAGATTAATTCTGCCAAGACGTAAGCGAACCGTCTGCCAGCTCCGTGGTGGGTGATGCCAGGCACCCAGGTAAGGTGAGCGCCCACCAGGCCGACCACCAGGGCGCTCCTGCCCAGCAACAGGGCCGACCTGTGTGGACTCTCGCCCTCTCCAGCGCTTTTCTTTCTCCTGGTGTCTTTCTCCCTTCAGCCGGCTCTCTTTCCTTCTCTCTCCCTCTCTGATTTCGTCCCCCTTGCCAGAGCTCGGTCAGTCCTTGCACTCAGTCTCTCTCAGTTCTCTTTGCACATTTCTCCATGCTGGGGACACTGGCACGGGCCAGACCCAGACCCTGCCCACCACGGGCTCAGTCTGTGAGGCAGTGGGGAGGAGGCACTTACAGACCAGAAGCAGCTAATACAGGCCAGACAGCAGGCCCAGTGCAGGCAGGACGCTGGAACAAGACTGACCATCCTGTGGAGGGATGGAGATGACTTTTCCGGAGAGAGAATGTTTAGGGGCTCCTTAAGGTCCAGAAAAAGGAAATATCCAGGCAGAGGGACCCAAAGATGGATGCACAGAAAGGTCAAGAGTCTTGTGGGGATAAAGAATGATAATTTATGGTCAAGATATAGAATGTAGGTGACAGGGGATTGAAAAGGAAGAGGGAGAGGCAGGTGGGGGCTGTGGCCTCTAATGTCACACTGGACTGTCTCCCCCGCGTGATGGGGAGTTTGGAGAAAACTGGGCAGGGGAGAGACAGTGTCAGCCCTGGGTGCCAGAAAGACCCCCCTGTAGACATGGAAGGGAGGCCAGAAGGTCAGGGAGGAACCTGGCAATGTAGTAGGTGAGACAGGACAAGGCCTGACCTGGGACCAGGAAAGGAGGGAATGAGCCAGACAGATTCAAGGGCAGGAGGAGCAGGACTTGAGGACTCAAGGCTTTTCAGGGTGAGAGGCAAGAAGAGGGCAAGGACAGCGCCCAAGGGTCGGGATCGATGAACTGGATGGGACGGCAGGGCCATCCCTCATATGGTGGAAGACAGTACGCTTAGTTGGGATATGGTTAACTGTTAAGGCCCTGAGGGGCAGCCAGGAGCAGAACTTGAGTCTGGGGCTCAGGGGAGAGACCTTGGGTTGGAGATGGAGTTTGGGAGGCTGCGAGAGCATTAAGCAGCACAGAAGCTTTGGCAGTGAGGAGGCTTTCCTGGCAAGGGAGTGCAGGGTGGAGCTTCAAGGAATACCCAGATTTACAAGTGAAGGGGAGAAGGCAGAGGAGCAGAGTCTGCAGTAAGACAGCTGGGGACCTGGAGAGCTTCTGGGGTGCCTGGAATGTCAAGGGAAAAGAAGTTTCTTTCTTTTTTTTTTTTTTTTTTTTTTTTGTTGTTGTTGTTGGGATGCAATGGTGTGGTTTCAGCTCACTGCAACCTCCACTTCCTGGGTTCAAGTGATTCTCTTGCCTCAGCTTCCCAAATAGCTGGGATTACAGGCACCCACCCTCATGCCTGGCTAACCTAATTTTTGTATTTTTTTTTTTTTTTTCTTTTTTTTGAGACAGAGTTTCACTCTTGTTGCCCAGGCTGGAGTGCAATGGCATGATCTTGGCTCGCCGCAACCTCTGCCTCCCAGGTTCAAGCGATTCTCTTGCCTCAGCCTCCCAAGTAGCTGGGATTGTAGGCATATACCACCACACCTGGCTAGTTTTGTAATTTTAGTAGAGACAGGGTTTCACCATGTTGGTCAGGCTGGCCTTGAACTCCCGACCTCAGGTGATCCACCCACCTTGTCCTCCCAAAGTGCTGGGATTACAGGCTTGAGCCACCATGCCTGGCTAATTTTTGTATTTTTAGTAGAGATGGGATTTTGCCCTGTTGGTCAGACTCGTCTCAAACTCCTGACCTCAGGTGATTCGCCCGCCTCAGCCTCCCAAAGTGCTAGGATTACAGGCGTGAGCCACAGTGTGCCTGACCAAGGGAATAGAAGTTTCTAAGAAAGGACTGGGAGTGATGGCTCAAACCCATAATGTCAGCATTTTGGGAGGCTGAGGTAGGAGGATTGCTTGAGCCCAGGAGTTTGAGACCAGCTTGGGCAACATAGCAAGACCCCATCCCAACAAAAAATCTTAAGAAAATTAGCCAGGCGTGGTGGCACATGCCTGTAGCTACTCATGAGGCTAAGGCAGGAGGATTCCTGGAACCCAGGAGTTCAAAGCTGCAGTGAGCTGTAATGGTGCCACTGCACTCCAGGCTGGGAGAGAGAGACACTCTCTCTAAAAAAAATAATAAAAGAAAGACTCAGCCTACCATGTAAGGGCCCTCAAGCTGCCCCCAGAGCTGCTGTCTGATTCTGAGCTGTCACTCGGTTGAGAGTTGCTGGGGTGTATGTGTACTGATGGTGGGGGGAGTGATTATCCCTTTAAACAATCACTGGGGGAGGGGGTTCTGGAATCCCCTGCCTCACAGAGACCCAGCCTCCCTCCCCCATCTCTCTGGGCTCTGTTCATCTAAGGAGCCCTGGGGCCCTGGGTGTGAGTCACTCAGGTGGGTGTATGTGGAGGGGTGTCTGGGGAGGGTACTGAGCAGGCTGAAGGGGCATTCTGCTGTGTGGGAGGGTCTCTGGGAAGACAGGTTGCTCACAGCAAAGCCTGTGGTGAAGGTCTCAGAGGCCTCTCAGGGGAAGTCACAGGGTCCCCAGTAAGGAGAACAGGGAGGAGGTTGTGGGTCCCCAGGCAGGGTTGTTGAGGGAGGGGCCTGGGGCACCTGGGGAACTGAAGGAGGGGGTCTTCCGGTCCCCAGAAGCAGGGGCCTCAGGCAGGAGTGCGAGGGGAGAAGTGGGGAGAAGGCGGGCTCCTAAGCTGGGGGCCTGGGGCGGGAAGGGCCTCGGCCCATCCTGCCCTTGTGGCCCCCCGGCTGCAGCCTCAGTGGCATGGGGGTGAAGCGGAGCCTCCAGAGCGGAGGCATTCTGCTCAGCCTCTTGGCCAACGTCCTCATGGTGCTCTCCGCGGCCACCAACTACTGGACTCGCCAACACGAGGGCCACAGTGGCCTGTGGCAGGAATGCAACCACGGCATTTGCTCCAACATCCCCTGCCAGAGTGAGGAGGCTCGGCCCGCCCTGATGTCAGACGGCACTTGAGACCCCCCCCCCACCCCAGGGCTCGGGACACAGAGCTGGGCCCGCGGCAAGGCGCCCGCCCCTTCCACCTCCTGCTCAGATGCAGCTGTCCCTCCTCGACCGAGGCAGCCACGAACCCCTCCCCCAGGCTTGTGGGCTTATCCCCGGACCCCTTCCCATCCCCGTAGCGGCAGTAACCGCAGGTCCTGATGTGGCCTCCAAGGCCCGGTCCAAACGCCTGCCTCCAGGTCGGGGAAGCCGGACTCCTGGCCAAGTACCGGGCGGGGGGAGGAGCCAGGAGGGCTTCCGGTTGCGGCCGAAGCCGTCGCGGCTGGGGGCGGTCCCCGCGGGGGCTGAGGCGCCCGCTCTCCTCAGCCACGCTGGCCGTGACAGCGGCGTGCATGGTGCTGGCGGCGGGCTTCGGCGTGGTGGGCACGGTGTTGGGACTGTGGATTCGGTGCCACGAGGGCGAGTCGCGGCGGGGCCAGACCACGAGCGCCTTCCTCTTCCTCGGCGGTGAGACCGCAGCCCGCCCCAGGCCCGCAGGCAGGGCCGGGCCCGGGGTGACCGAGGGGCCTGGGTACCAGGGACGAGGCTTGGGGAAGGCGGCCGGAATTCAAGGGGCGGGGCTGGAAGAAGCCGCGAGGCGGGGGCGGGCCTCGAGATGGCTTTCAGAAACCGGAGGCGCCGGAAGGGACCAGGGCCAGAGGCGGGGCTGAGAAGGAATGGGCGTGGTCTGGCAGAAGGGGCGGGTCCGAATGGGCGGGGCTTGGGTGCAACCCCACTTGGCCCCGCTCACACGGCGGCTGGGCGGGGCCCAGGACTGCTGCTGCTGACAGCCTTGATAGGCTACACGGTGAAGAGCGCGTGGAACAACAACGTCTTCTTCTCCTGGTCCTATTTTTCTGGGTGGCTGGCCTTACCCTTCTCAATTCTCGCTGGTAACCTGGAAAGCGGGAACAGGGTGGAGGAGGCTACCCAGAAGGCTCCCCAGCTGCCCTTCCAGGAAACCCCGGGGACCTCTCAGGGACTCCCCAGCACACTCCCGACTCCCACAGACCTGGCAGAGGCCCCCTTGGAGCCCCAAAACCTCAGTCCTCGGGGCCCGCCTGGCCATCGGCCCCAGGGCCCACCTTCCTCTCCCTGCCCCGCGCTCCCGTCCCCCCAGGCGTCTGCTTTCTACTGGCAGACATGATCACGCAGAGCACCGACGCCATCAGAGGATTCCCCGTGTGTCTGTGACCGCAGCCTGCCTGGGGCAGAATAAAGGAACGGCTTTTTTTGTTTTTTAGCGCCGCGGTTCAGCGTGCTTTTCTGGGGGTCGTGGGGACGCAGGCACGGGGTTGCATAGAGGCTCAGGGAGGACTCAAGGATATGAAACCTATAGGGAACGTGGTGACACGAGTGACATGGATTGGGATGGGAACAGGGACATCGGGGAGGGGAGGGGCCAGGAGGGGACGTGGGCTTTTGGAGAGGTTGTGGAGAGGCTGTGGGGACGACAGGAAGATGAAGTGAAGACACGAACAGGGGAGGATACGGATATGGAAGGGACAAGGAACACGGGGATGGAGAGTGGAGAGACCGACACGAGCGGACTCAGAGGAGTGGGAACACCAGCCCCGCGACTTGGAGAGGTCGGAAAGAAGTGGGGGATCTGGAGGGAGACAGTAGATCCGGGGACACTGTGAAAGGTTTATAGGACCAGAAGGATCCCCACTCCGGGCGCGCTTCCCTCCAGTGCACGACCTTTCCCCTAGTTCCCTGCCCTGCCCCCTTCGCCAGGCCTTTCCCTCCCGCTCGGGGTCCCTTGGGCTCCCCAAGATCCGCTTCCTATTGGCTTGCGTTGCTTGCCACGCCGCCCTTCCTTCCGGCCTCTCGATTGGTCCTCGGTCAGGGGGCGGGCTCTGCGGCGGTCGACTGGCTGACCGTGCTGCGCGCAGGCGCAGAGAGGGGCAGGGGGCGGGGCGTCTGGACGGAGCGGCGGAGGGTGCGCGTTGACCCTGCAGGTGGCTGTGGCTGGAAGATGGCGGAGCTGCGCGCGCTTGTTGCTGTCAAGAGGGTCATCGACTACGCTGTGAAGGTGACCGGGCCCCCGTCTCCCACATCGCCGAGTCCCGCGGCCGTGTGCTTCCGGGGCCACGAGGGCACACTGGGTGGGGGTCTTCTCGTAACCTCCGACCTCTGCCGCTCTAACCCCCACACGCCAAAGTCACACCTAGGGGCAAAGATCGAAGACTGAAGTTCTGACATCCGATCCCTCTGGGGTCACGGCCGTGTTTTCTTTTCCCTGGTTCTGGACTCACTTTCTTGATAACTGTTCAGAGTGAGTTGCTTTCTCCATTTCTTACCCACTGGAAGAAGTCATGGTCCCTGTTTAACGCACGGAGAAACTGAGGCACATAGCGGTCACTATGTGACCTAAAGAAGGGCAGAGCCGAGAGTTCTATCCAGGTTCCTCTGACTGCTTTCACCCACGGGGCTGCATTGCCTACCATTGGGCTATTACCCGAAATGTTCTATAGTGGTAGTCAGACAGGGCACTGTGGGGGGGGGGCCCAGAAGCTGCCTTCCACCCTCCATACCCACAGCGTGAGCCAGGAGGCTCTAGCTAGGGAGAGAGAAGTGTGTTTGCTAGTGGTGAAAGTTCAAAGAGCCAACCTGACTGAGCTGAGGGAGGAGCTCACATTCTCCATGAAAGAGGTGGGGAAGGGCACCTTCTGAGCGCCTGGCTTGTCCCCAGAGGGAAGCTGGTGTGGACAGAGGTGAATCAGACACGGTCTCTCAGGCCCGTTTCTCTCAATGCTTGACCTGAACTGGACTGAACATGGTGACCCTCCGTCCATGTCTGTCCTTCCCATAATCCTGGGCACTTACCTCCGTGTTCCCAGCATTGCCTAGTATTGGGCCTGGCACCCTGGAGGCCTCAGGGTGGGTGAAACCAGGGTCACAAAGTAGACACTGATACTTCCTCTGCCTGTCTGGGGAGTGGGCTGGGGAAGAGGGTTTAGGAGCCAGACTTGGACATGAAAGCATCAGTGATCATAGCAGATAGCATTTAGTGGGTACTTATGTGCCAGGCATCGTTCCAGGTCCTTTGCAGAGGTTAACTCATTCAGTCCTTTCAGTATCCTCTGCATTATTATTATCATTATTATTATTATTGAGACGGAGTTTTGCTCTTGTTACCCAGGCTGGAGTGCAATGGCGTGATCTCAGCTCACTGCAACCTCCGCCTTCTGGGTTCAGGCAATTCTCCTGCCTCAGCCTCCTGAGTAGCTCGGATTACAGGCACACGCCACCATGCCCAGCTGCTTTTTTTGTATTTTTAGTAGAGACGGGGTTTCACCATGTTGACCAGGATGGTCTCGATCTCTTGACCTCGTGATCCACCCGCCTCGGCCTCCCAAAGTGCTGGGATTACAGGCTTGAGCCACCGTGCCCGGCCAGTATCCTCTGCATTATTAATCCCATTGGATAGGTGAGGAAACTGAGCCCTGTGGAGGTCGTTAGTTGCCGGATCTCCCAGCCAGTAAGTGGTAGTTAACATCAAAACGTGGATAAGTCTGGCTCTAGATCTCCACTCAATGCCCCGTCCTAATACACCTCTGGCAGCACATGACAGGGATGTCGCCTTCAGCCCTTTTGAGACACATTCCTCTTGGGGTTCTGGGACCCGACACTTAGTTTCCTTCCCCCTCTGACTGTTCATTACTGTCACATCTTTGGACTCCCACAGCTCCCTGGGCCTCCTCTCTCTATCCCAGCCATGGCCTTCCCTGCCTGGCATGTCTGGGATTGAATCTATCTCCCTACCATGCAGGCCCACGTTTGACTCAGCTCTGGTCCCAGCGTCACTCAGCACAGAGCCTGGCACATGGCTGTCTCTGGTGTACTGAGGGAAGCGTGAAGGCAGTGTTGAATCAGCTCCTGTCCTTTCCAGAGCGGGGTGCTGCCCTCTTCTCTTGCAGAGCCCCAGGGCTCCGTGACTCACTGGATGTATCGTTAATGTCCTTTTTTAGAACAAATAAATGAACAAATAAATGCCAGCTTCCTCAACACCAGATTTGAACTGGGCACCGTCCCATCCCCTTTCCCTTTTCCTCCCAAAGCTGTCAGTTCTCTACCCCCGACCCTTCCGGCCCTGTAGTCTCTTGGTCTCATTGTCTCGCAGGTTTTCCCTGGTTACCAGTCTCTCCCTCTCAGCCCACCTCTACCCAGCCATAGGGGTCTTTCTGCACCTAGAGCTGACCTTGCCCTTCCCTGATCCCAGCTTGCCTGTGGCTCCCCAGCACCCTCTGGACAGAGTCCCAGCCCCTCTGCCTGGCATTTGGGACCCTTTGTGGTTTGGCCTCCTATTCATAGTCTGCTTCAGCCATCCATGTCCCTCCTTGGACCCTCCCTTACCCCTTGTGTTTCTACCACTTCGACGTGCTCCTTCTGTCTTGACAGAGGAGGCTGTGGCTCACCCATTCCATGCCTTATTCCAGCAGCACGCTCCTATCTCTGCTGCCTGTCCTTTGTCCTGCCCAACTCCAACTCATGGATTATATCAAAATCTAGTGATTCTCGACTGGGCACGGTGGCTCATACCTGTAATACCTGCATTTTGGGAGGCCGAGGTGAGTGGATCAGTTGAGGTCAGGAGTTCAAGACCAGCCTGGCCAACATGGTGAAACCCTCTCTCTACTAAAAATAAAAAAATTAGCCAGGCATGGCGGTGTACCTGTGATCCCAGCTACTCAGGAATCTGAGGCAGGAGAATCGCTTGAACCTACGCTTATACTGCAGTGGCATTTGTGAAACAGTCAAGGTCACACTGGTAATGTTGTCTAAGGTGTTTTCCCAGCTCATTATCTCACAGCCAAGAGAATTAAAGAGCACGAACCACCCAAAGCAGGAGTTTGGAGCGAAAGTTTAATAAGTAAAAGAAAAAAGGAGGGTAGCCCAAGGGGGTTGCTGTTTTTACAGTGGAATCCAAAAGCTTTTGTAAGAAACTCCTCTCATCTCTGCAGCTGTTTGAGTATCTTATTTGTAAGGCTATCTGTATAACTCTCCCTTATATATGTAGGTGTGGGTGTGTCTCTAGGCAAGCCCAAGGGTTTGTTTTAGGTAAGCCCCACCCCATCCCTTTGCAAGTTCCCATGGAGCCCACCAAGTATATGCCTGAGAAGGGGAGGGAACTTTTCCTGGGAGCCCATTAATCACACAAAGAACAAAAGCAGGATCTGTGCTGGATCCTGCCTGCTTATCTGTGCAGCTGAAGCCTGAGTTTTCTCCAGGCTGCTCCGCTGTTGCCTGTAGCTGTGATTTTTCAGGCAGGCTGCTTCTCCGAATACCAGGCTTTACTGTCTACCTAACTGATTTTGCCTTTTCTTCTCCTCATTTGTATTTATGTATCAGTGTGTTATGTCTTTATGTACACTTGGGGATATGGTAAAATATACCTCTCACTGTGGGTTACCGTAAATACTGTAAATTTGAGATTTTGAGAACCACTATTTGAGGCCTGATAAGGAGCAGTGACAGAGTAGGAATGATTATGTCAGATATCCCTGGTACCCAGGAATGGCTGGATGAGAGAAGGAGAGAGAGTGACCTGCCCCTGCCTACAAGCTCTAACCCAGCTTGTCCCTGAAGCTGTGTGATCCTGGATAAGGCCCTGCCCCTTTCCAGACCGTTGTCCCCCTCCAGCCTGGGAGGGGTTGGCACAGAGGCCCCCACCTTCTGGCCTGTTTCCTCCTGACCCAGCCTTCTCCCCTCCTGCTGAGCAGATCCGAGTGAAGCCTGACAGGACGGGTGTGGTCACGGATGGTGTGAAGCACTCCATGAACCCCTTCTGCGAGATCGCAGTGGAGGAGGCTGTGCGGCTCAAGGAGAAGAAGCTGTTGAAGGAGGTCATCGCTGTCAGCTGTGGGCCTGCACAGTGCCAGGTGCTCAGTCTCGGGGATGGTGCTGGTCTCCTGGGTCTGAGGGAGGAGGGGCTGGGGGCCAGTCTCCTGGGTCTGAGGGAGGAGGGGCTGGGGGCCTGGACTCCTGGGTCTGAGGGAGGAGGGGATGGGGTCCAGATTCCTGGGTCCCTCTAGGAATAGTAGATAAGTCAAACTCCTCTGTTCTTGGCAGGAGACCATTCGTACCGCCCTGGCCATGGGTGCAGACCGAGGTATCCATGTGGAGGTACCCCCGGCAGAAGCAGAACACCTGGGTCCCCTGCAGGTGGCTCGGGTCCTGGCCAAGCTGGCAGAGAAGGAGAAGGTGGACCTGGTGCTGC